CACACTCCGGTGAGGTGGGCAGTCCGCCACAGGGAACAGAGGGACGTAAACTTTATCTCGGATCTCCAATTCCAAACTTAGTCGCTGTAATCCAGTCGGCTACAAAACATTATCTTAATTAACTTTCGGTGTAAAAGCCTCTCCATCACAGAGAGCCCTGCTGGGGATCCCGGTGGCGGCTCACAGCAAACGTTATGCGATTAACCAAATTAGCAAACGATCTGAAAGACTCCGTCGTCCCCACAGGTACGTTTGTCACTTCATGTGTGAGATGTGGCCGTCCAGCCCGCTCCGTCAGAAAAAAGGAAAGAAGAAGAAGAAATCTTGCTGTTGGGAAACATAACTCACCTTGACATCGACTTCAGCTGGATGCAGTTCATAAGCAGCAGCCATCATTCGTCACTGATGGAAACTGTTTTTGAGATTTTTAACTGAAAAAGTCCTGAAACTCTTTTACAAGTAAAATCAACCAGAAAGGAAACGTACCAACTCTGGGGTTTAACCGGAAGTGGTAACGTGGAGCGGCCAATAAGAGCTGCTGTCATCATTTATGGAGTTCCTGGTGGAGGATGTTCTGATGTTTGCTGACTTCACTTCCTCCCTCTGGCTTGGAACCACAAATAGTTTTCCTGGATGACTCTCTATTCCCAAACTACCGCTCCTAGATTCAAACGGTGTGTTTAAGTCACAGATGGAATCCAAAATAATCCAGGGTTTGTCTGTTTATAAGCCCTATGACTGGAAGACCACCAGAGCTTGGACTCTAGAAATGTTGTTTGTTATCATATCTAATGTAATATATATAATATCTGGTGCACTGCTGCAAACGTCACTCGGTCGCTGTCCATCTTGGGTCACCATGAGCTCCATAAATGATGACAGCAGCTCTTATTGGCCGCTCCCCGTTTCCACTTCCAGTTCAACCCCAGAGCTGGTACGTTCCCTTTCCGGTTGATTTTACTTGTAAATTTATTTTGCACTTCCCGGCCACCGTAGAAAACACACACATCATCCTACATGAACCTGATATTCAGCTCAGGTTGTAGATTTTCGGACACTCTTCACAGCAGAACTTCCAGCTCCATGCTCGTACGGCCGTCGTGTGTTTTATGAGTGAAATTTAACGGCAGGAAAATGTTGTTTTATATGAAAAGACGAAGGAATCGGCTGTCGGGTTTTGGTTACGGGTCTTTATTGGCCTCCATGAACCATGTTTAAACAATGACAATAGCAAAAAAGAAAAAACAAACTAAACAAAACAACCTTCAGGGTTGGTATCGGCTAGCACCTCGTCTGCCTCCAGCGTGTCCAGCTGCTGCCTGTGGTCCTTCTGCTGGAGCTACTCAACAGCTGGACACTGTTTGTAGGGTTATATATATGTATAAGGTTGGTTCTCTGTAACACGGTCAGACGTAGCCACTGTAGAAGTCCTTCAGTTGTTGGTTTTACTTCCTGCTTACTGAACTACTGCTGGAGGAATTGTCTTTTTTTTTTTTTTTTTTAGAATTTGTATGCATTGGGCTGTAAACGAATCAGTTGGGAGAAAATACACATAAATAATGTGGTTTTATGTTATAGTGGGACAGAGAGGACGTCTACAGTGGCTGGAAACTTCTCCAACAACAACAACAAAAAAAGAATAATCCTGCAGCTCAAAGTCACCCAAAACCTTCCACGTCTTCATAAAAACCTGTTTGCATTATTAAACTAAAAAGGAAATGAGATGTATTCCTGCATTATGTCGTTAGTATGAACTGAACACACCGCGGTCACCTTCCTCCTCACCGCTACGCCCTCGCTTTCCCCGTGTAAATATCACCTTCACAAGATTAATAATAAATAATAATAAAAAAAGAAGACGCTGATGTAAATTGGTTAAACATGAACAGCCGGAGATGGATCGCCGGGAGACACGAGGCGTCCAGTTGCTCTGATGTGTCCGAATAAAACGAGGTTCTGAGCCTACATTGTTCAAATCAATTAACAAGTAAAACCCTCCTCTGCAGCCGCGACCTCCTGAAAAATAACCGTCTATGTTTTTAAGACAACTCCTGGTGGGCTGAGCAGTCGTGGAGGAAGCATGCAGTAAAAATCCTTCCTCGCCATTCGTGGCTACGAACAAACAGCAGATTTCATCTAAATAAAAGCTGAAATACCCCCAAAATTCAAAAACAGCCTTGGATTTTTTTTATTTTTCATTTTATTATATATTTTTTAGCTGATACCATTTTAAAATAAATCTAAACAAAGGGAGTGAACGGCTGTACGATTAAACTCACAGCATGTAAAGAGTCAAAAGGGTTTTTTTTAAAGAGCTGCTACACGTTTACCGATCGATCTCATCCAGCTGATCCTGTTGATCACAGCAGTCTGGTGCCTACATGACAGTAATACAGTCGTGTGTCCAGAACATACAGTCCGGCTGGCAGCAGAACATCTATTGCTTTGGTGGAGGCCGTGCAGCCCGGTTTAGTTTCTGCCTCTCAGTGCTTTTGTCTGTAACTCTGGGTTGTGATTTCACTTTTATCATGAACGCTTGTTCAACAAATGACTGAAAATAGAGACTATCTGTAATAAATCCAGATTGTTTTCCCTCCGATGAACATTTGGTTTCTGAAACGGGCTTCCTCCATTTTTACATCTCATCGCGGAGGTAAAGCGACTCCTACCCTGTACAAAGACAAGAACTCATCCTAAACAAAGACAGGAACATCTTTAGAAAAAAAGAAACCAGTAAGATCACGTTCACATTGTGGTGGTGGTGGTGGCAGATAGCATCGTGTCCGCTGCACTGTAAAATGTACAAAATATCACCATGTGGTCGGCTAGTGACCTGCAGTCTTATTCACAAGCACTTTGAAGCATGTTTATTTATTTACAACATACAGTGTACTCTGAAACAGGAACACATTTATAAATAAATATTGCAATCTTAACAATCTTACAGTTCTCCTTGTTTTTGTTTTTATTTTTATTGTCAGTTCTTCATGACTCGTCACCTGAGCTTAACGAAGGTGAGGCAGCCTCTGCCTGCTCGGTCTCCTCCTGGTCTGTATGTGCTATCGTTCACCAGCAGGTCTGTTGTTTGTCAGTCTGTGTCCTTGGCCTTTCTCTCTTTCTTCCCTCACCCTCACAAAAATGTCAATTTAAATAAATAGATATCTAGGAGAAAGAAAAAAAAAAAAAAAGGAAAAAAGAAGAGGAATCATATATTCTTAAAATCTTAATAAATCTCTGAAATAAAAAGCTACAATTAAGATCTTCCCAAATTAGGAAAAAACAAACAAAACAACAAAATCAGAACCTTCTATTTATCAAAAAGGACAAACAAAAGGGAAAAATATAGCTATTTATAACAACGTTCAGCAGATGTTTCTGTTCGTTAGGTCGTCGTTCCGTTTTCATTTCTGTCGTATTGGCGCATCCCGTTAGCTCCACGTACGACGCTGCCGTCCGCCTGGTCGCCTGCACGGTACGTTTTCACTGATCCTCATTAAGAAGTCTTCATCCAGCCCCAGCCGTCCCCCTTTTACTTTACAGACAGCGTTTCACAGCAGGTCACTGTAGTTCACAAACCGCCGTCCAATCGCAGACGAGGAGGAGGGGGGGGCCCAGGGGGAGCGACGGGATTGGTTCTGAATCCGGGGAGAACGCCGTCATTGGCTGCAGGGTTTCAGGAAACATAAAGTAAGCCTCAAATATGGCTAACGTCCTGTCCTGTTTGTAATTGTGCAAGATTAAATGCCTCTGTCTCGGATCCAAGGGAGAAACAGTCTTTTGACCCTCAGTGCCCTCTGCTGTCCGAGGAAAAGAGCGCGACCGCCCGAACTCCCGCCGGCGACCGCAGAATGCCTGGATTTCTAGTCGAGTACTTGGAATATATATATTTTTTTTTACATTTCACATTTTACCGATGAGCGATGCCAAAAAAACAAAGGGGCCACATGGTCGAACGAGAACAGACGGTTTCTGTGATGAGCACCGATTCTTCAGAGATTCTTCACGTAACCAGACTTCAGCAGACTTGGCAGGTAAACGATGTGAATTAAAAACTAGATCAATAATTAATCAACAGCTACAGCCAACGTTGGCGATATACCACATGAGTAAAAAAGACTTCTGAAGTCAGGACGCGATGCAAGTGGTCGCCGTCCTCATTTAAATGTATAGTGGCTTAATAAGGTTTGTCCAATAACATACCCTGAATTTACTGTATAATGTATGTATACAATGGTTCACTGCTTCTCTGAAAGTAAAGAACCAATAGTGACTTTATTATTGATTTTTACACTAATATTTTCACAATAAATAATACAAAACAAACTCAGAATGTTCATTATTTGCTACCATTAATTTTTAGTGTGAGCTAGTGATGACTCTATGCTTCCCGCAGCCTCAGAGGAACCACATGGAAGCATCCCCAGAACTGTCCGTCCCATAAACTCGTCACCACGCTTCACGTTCCCGTTAGCGCTCCCACGTTCCCGCTATTCTCCCTCCACTAATCCATTGCAAAGGCATTACAGGTGAATTGTACTCATTGTCCATCCTCCCTCCTGCGCTCGTCCTCTGCATCCCCGACATGTCTCAGTCTCGTTCCCATCAGTCACAGATTGTCTTGTAGCCTCTCCATGTAGGTTCTGATTTCCGACTGACCCAGGTCCATATCCTGACACACCCACTTGATGTCATCCTCGCTCCCGTTGGTCACCAGGACGGAGGAGTTGGTGTACGGGCCTCCCCCGCCTGAATTATCGTTGGGCAGGACGGTGGCAAAAGACGTGAATTTGACGCGTTTGCGTTTGGCGGCTGCGACCGCGGCTGCCGCCGTGGCTCGGGGGGAATTATTCAGATGCTCCGCCTGGCCGGTGACGTCTTTGCCGCCAGTAGTGATTGCTGAAAGGCACTGATGCGGTTCTGGGACGGATCTGGGCAAGGTTTGTCCGTGGGTGATGCCCCGGTGTCCGAGCGTGCCGCCGCCGCTCCCGCTGATGGTGCCCATGCCTGAGCCCACACCCATCACCAAGGTGTTGCCGGCGCCGTTCAGCAGGTACTTGTTCTCCTCGTATCCTCCTTCGTTCCGGTCGATGATGGTGGTGCACTCGTCGGGCAGGCCGCCCTGGCACTGGTCGGAGTGGTCGGCCAGGAGGTCGGCCTCGTTGCCGAGCCACACCCAGTCGTGGGCGTGGTTCATGTTGCCTCCCGCCTCCAGCACGGGCACCTGCTTGTGACGGTACCTGCAGACGGAGGACGATAATTAATCTGAGGTGGAGGTCACAGTTTTGAACACATGTAATTTCAGGCTGATGTGGTTTTAAATAGAGAAAATGAGCCTCTTTGTCTGTGGGCTGCAGGAAGGTGTGGAGCAGAAGGTAGTGAGACACATCAGACGATACTGGATCATCAGAATATTTCAGAAAGGTTCAGATAAAGACCTGAAACTTAACTAGCAGACGAGGGGCACTGAAATTAATAATGAGTTCAACATATATTTGGACCAAAAGCATCAGATTGAACATTCAGACTCAAATAAAAACCAGAAAGAAATCCGTAGGAAACAAGTCTGGACTGGATTTAGCCAAAAAACAAACACATCAGCGTTCGATGTTTGGTGTGTGGATCCTCTCTCGAACTGGGTCGATGCCTGACTATTTAACAAACATTTCACTTCTATTGCTGAGTTTATACGCTGAGCTCGATCGCAGGGTTTTACCTGAAAGCGAAGCTGACACAGTTGATGAGGAAGACCATGATCGCCAGGCAGAACACTCCCAGAAGGGCGTACATCCCAATCTCCAGGTCTGACAGGCCTCTGGTGGTCTGGGCCAGCTCGCTGTTTCCGGTCCCTGGCACCTCCACCTGCGCTGGGTAGCTGCTGTAGTCCCCTGATTGGTTGGGACCGCTGCCTCGACTGCTGCTGCTTCCACCGCTGGCAGCTTTGCCGCCGGACGCACGGTGGGTGACTGTGCTCTTGGTTGTTGTGCTAACCTGGAGAAGGAAAATAGATTTTATTTTCAAAGTTGGTTTTTGTATATTGTTCACCTCCATCCCCAACCAGCCACTGAGCTACCAGAGAAACCAGTGATGTGTTGATGAAGACTACGGTTTATCATCCATTTCCTGTTTCCTCCCACCTTCCTCATGGCTCCTTCCTCCCGGTCCACTGCTGCGCTGTTGGACTTCCAGTCTCCATCCTTGGTCCGCTGCTCGCTGGTGCTGTTGTCCATCCCTCCGTCCTCCGGTCCGCCTCTTCCCATCACTCCTCTGTCCTCGCTCTTTGCTCCAAACTTCACCACGACGTTACCGACTCCAGACGCCAGCACGCTCTTCCTCTTGGACTTCTGGCACGTTTCGGAGATGACCATCTCGACACGAACCAGCGTTCCTTGTCCGTCGCCTTCTGCCACTAGGATGGGCCAGTGCTGCTCCTGATCGACACAGATGTTGTGGAGATGAACAAACATGTGACCCTAGTGAGGATTAAGGTGTGTAGACGATGGATGGATGATCAGATAGAAGCAGCAGCTGTACCTGGTTGGTAACAGAAATGACGCTTTCATCCAATGAGACGGCTGAGAGGAGGAAGTCTTTGGGATCGTAGATGTCGAGCGGCGTCACTGAACCGTCGCTGTACTGGATCCACGCACTGATCGCAGCCTCCTGAACGAGAGGAAAACAAACAGTACGATTACAAGCCAAGCTTCCAAATGCAGTGCTCGAGTTGAGTGAAATGTCAAAGTTTGAACCTTTATAATTACTTTGTTTATTGAGCTAAAGGAACATCATCGACAGCTGAAAGTGCATCGCCGTCCACGTGAACGTTTAGTGTCTATCCCAGATGTTCATTCTGCAAAACGTACTGATTAAATGAAGAAACGCTCTCATCCTGCCTGTACTGCTGTGTCTGTACAGCAACATGACAATAAACTGGATCGGATTTAAAGACGGTGGTTGAGGGCTGCAGAGCTCTAAGACACGACTTGAACCTCCCTGTTGTCATCAGATGCCGGCTGCTGAAGACAGCGAGCCGAAACGCTTCATACAGGTTGAAGTTTTTGGAGCCACATACGAAAGAACCAAGAAGAGGATATTTGTATTCATTAGGTGAACTGAGCTGATGGATTTCAAGAGCCCAGGCCTCCTGCATGAATGCTCCTGTAGCTCTTTTCCTGAAACCTGATTTTTTTTTTTGAGAATATGTGAAGTAAAGATATTCATCGGCGGCGGCGGCCTTGGTCGCCTGACAGCGCGATCTTCAGTATAATGGAAATAAATAGCACGCTGCGACTCTTGGAGGAAGACACAAAGGGAGACGTCCACCGTCCATCCGCCCACACAGGCAGCAAACAGTCGACGTGTAAACATCACTAACCAACACCTAAACGCTTCCTTTCTCTTCCGTCTTTATCTTTATAACACTACGACTGCAGCAACGTTTCCATGAATAAAAACTGAATTCAGCATCTTTTTCTTTTCTCTGCTTGTCTTTACGTGATCCTCTAATTCCCCCTTAATAAAAACCTCTAATCAACACAACAGACAACGATGGTTCAGGTAAAACACAACAGAAACTAATTAAGATCCAACCAGAGGAGCTTTATCTCTTCCCTCCTCTTACGCTCACATTAAATTGTCATTTTCTCCTCCGCTCCCTCGTTTCCCTACAGTCTCCTGCTTTTTATATCTTTTCATCCTAATTTCTTCTCCTCCAACAACATCCCTCCACAGGTAACGCTGAGTGACGTAGATAAAGAGCTGCTGAACGGTGCTTTCATTGCTGCTCCTCGTCTCAATTAGCCCTCAGATAGAAATAACGACGTGAGCTATTGTTTGATTTAAAAAAAATGTGAAAAGCAGGAGGATGGAGGAGGGATTGTGGGGAGAGAGGAATGAGGGGGAATATCTGCAGATAGTGAGATAGAAGAACCTCTGGCAGTGTGATTAGAGTCCAGCGACACGGCGCCCTGGAAAGACAACGCTGATTAGAATGGAGTTTAAATGATCCTGTTTGTTGGACATCGTTTGACAAACGTCTCGCTGGGATTCTTTTTTAATGGATTACATTTTAGGTTTCACAGAAGAAAAACAGACCTTGTGGCGAGCTGTAACCGATCTAGAAAGCGCTGTAACGTGGAAGTTAGTCCTAATTAGAGCCTGATTAGAGATAATGCTGGCGGTGCAACATCACTGCTCGGGTTTTATGGTTACAAGCTTTGGGGTTTTACTGTAAGAACAGAAGGAGCTTAAAATGTGTGATGCAAACTTAAAGACAGCCACGTTCATCATATGTGCAAATTACACTGAAAGCAGGGACGACCTGCAGAGGTGGAGCTACGAGGAACCCACGGCGCACTGACGTCTTTCTTCATCGTTTTTGGACGTCCAGTGCTGGTCACAGGCAGGTGCTGAACGTCTAGTGTTGACGTCCACAGGACCTCTACGTAAAGGCGACATGTGGTCCAGATGTGGTCGTTATGGACGTCTTGTCCACCTCAAATTTAATCTAATTTTAGAAATGATATTTATGGTATTTATGCTGCCTATAAGACGTCCATAAGACGCCCTGTGTCAGGGGGAGTTTTCCAGGAGACATGTGAAGCTCAAGTGGATAAAATGAAGTTAAAATCATTTTGTTAAACACAGAAGGTAAATTCTTCAATGACAGCTTTGTTTTGATTCCTGGAACCAGAAGCATGACATTTATAATCATGTCCGTTTTCTGCACCTGTCTGAGACTTCCACATGACGTCGACAAAAGTTACCGAGACCAGCGTCCAAATGTTGGACCGCATGTTGACGTCCAATCGGGTCATGGTTAGACGTCCAAACAGCGGACCTAGTTTGCACGTCATATAGACGTCCATAATTGGTCTTGGACCGACGGACGCAATATGGACATGTTCTGCACATCCATCAGACGTCTGATGAGCAATGGTGGTCCGGTGAGCAATGCTAATGCTAATGGGCTAAAAAAGCAAGTCCTGGTAAGAGAATTGGTTTAAGGTCCAGCCAGGGTTAAGATGAGGCGAGCGCCAGTTAAAAGTTAAGCTAAGTCTAATGTCCTTTGTAGACCTGCAGCATCTCCTACCTGCTTGGGCGTGTGCAGCAGGTCCGTCGCCGTCGTCGTCAGCTGTATGGCCTGGGAGTTTCCTGGACTCGCCGTCATGCTGAGGGACAGAGAGGCGACCAGCTGGACTCCCAGGTCTGTGATGGTGACCTGGACACACAGAAATCTCATTCACTGGACGAGTCTGAGTTCCCTCGTAGCAGCACGACACAGAAGGGACGCTTGTTCACGAGATGATGAAGATCTCCGTTAGTGTTTAACCTCGTTAACGCGCCCATAAGGAGTTTCTTTAATATGCAACGAGACACAATGATGACTGTCCCAAAAACACACATTCAGACTTCCTGCCAACTTGCAGGAGGGAGTTTCCGGATCAGCATTGTTCTGCAGAATCAGTTCCGTGTTACTCCAATATTACAGCTCGCCATCGTAGTTTTAGAGCTTTTAAGCGGAGGTGAGCTGGTGTGCTCGAGCTGCAGCAAGAAGGGCGGGATGAGTGCAGATAGAGGACTTCACAGAGCTGCACATTCTGGAGAAGGCAATGGTCTGAAGCTACATCCAAACCAGTTCTAGGTAGGAACGGATTCTATTCATTAGCGTCTAACGAGCTCTAAGAGACGATTAGACGGTTAATCGATGATACTGAAAGTAGAACTGATATTTAGAGCTGGACTTTCAACATGAGAAATTCAATAAACAACAACAGTCATAGATCACAGCACACACCGACAGAGGACGTCTACAACCCACTTACATGTTAAAGCATCAGGTCATATATGTTATAATATATATGTGATGGTACCTTGTCATCCAACACGGTCACCGTCTTCTCTGCCAGAATAGAGTCGGACAGCGGGGACAGAACCTGCAGAGAACAACCAGACAACATGTGAACACGTATGTGTTTAACTTCACCTGCCAGTGCAGGTAAATCAAAGTCCAACCAAAGGACGAGTTGGTGATTGGATGGATTGAATGACAGCTTGTGTTTCATAAGGTTGCAGAAAAACTGTGGGAATAACAAGATGTTGTGGATTTCTTATAGCCAAGGCTGGAAGACGATGAAGGACAGAGTTACACAGTAAAAGCACCAAAAATATGAATTTACAAGTTAACCCTAAAAGTGTGTTTGGATTTAAAATTACAGGATATTTACTGAACCTGAATCAACAAAAAAAGCTTTAATTTACTGATATTTGCTGTTATTTCAAAGAAAAAAAAATACGCATATCAAAGACTTGGAAATGGTAGATGGTTTTCTATTATTTGACAGGTTTTCCCTGTTTTGTTAAATTACAGATAAAAACTGGAAAAATCACAAAAATATATTAATTTACATTTTAACCCTAAAAATATTCATAACAAAACGATGCTTGGATGTAAAATGAGAAGAAAAAATATACATATGAAGGCCTGGAAAATTAAAACTATTATTTTACAAGTTTTGTTAAATTACAGATAAAACTAAAAAAATGTTGTTTTCTTCTTCTTCTCCCTTTTCTTAAAAAAAAAAATAAAATAAAATCTAATCATTTATATGTTGACTGTATAAAAATCAAACAGAGAACTGTACATAACATCCATATAAATAAACTCAATTGTTACAGATATTAATTTTCTGTTTTAAAATTTTAATCATAAAATTACAATAAATTTTTACTGTATTTAAAACTGCAAAAAAACAACAGCTATCCTTTACAGCTATTTACCTTCATTTGAAATAAAAATAAAAACCATGTATATCAGGTATTAAAAATGGTAAATATATTCTTATTTTACAGATTTTAAATGTGTTTAATTTACACGTTAGGTATAAAAAAACAAAAATAAAAACAATAATTAATAAATCGTAATTAATTCTTTTATAACATGGAATCATAAAATTACTTTAAATCCTCAAATTTTTAAAAAAATTTTTGTTTCATTTTTATTTAAAATTCTTCCTTATAAACATTATGATAATCCTTTTTTTTCCAATTTTAATTTTTTCTGGCACCCTTGTTTCCAGATTTTATTTTATTTTATTTTATTTTATTTTATTTTTTACAGAATACCTTGAACACAGCGATGCTTTGAGCCACACAAACTGGCAGTGAGTCAGTGTTTAGCTCTCACTAAACCAACACACTCTACACACTACGTTAAACATCTTTTCTAAGGCCGATGCTGCCGGTACCGCCTGTTCAGGCTCAGAACCGCTGCTGCTGTCGTTTCACATCACAGCGGTGATGAAAACATCTGCACACGCTGCCTCCTGCCTTCCAGCTGTGCTCCACCGTTCAGCTCGAGGCCAGAACTAAAAGACGACCAAACCGAGACGAGAGCGAGTGAAAGCGAGCCGGTGAGGAACGCAGATGGAGTCGGTGTCAGAGAGAGAGACAATGACAAATAGAGGAGGACAGGAAAGTGAGAGGAGGAGGAGGACGAGATGTGGGTGCACGTGGAGCGACAGTGATGGAGATTAGGAGGCCCGGCGCTGCAGCGCGCGACTCCGCCGGGCGACAGCACCACGGCCACGTCTGATTGGTGCACAAAGAAAACCTCTCAGCGAACGTGTCGGGGCGTCAAACTCAATCCCAGCGAGGTGGCAGCAACACGGTGATTGACGGCTCTGGGATTGCTCCTCAAAAGGAGGGCGAGGAGGAGAGGCTGGAGGAGGAGGAGGAGGGATGAGGGTGGAGGGGGGAGAAGAGGCGAGGCCGGGGGGTAAAATTGAAATGTCAAAGCTTCAAATGACGGCTGTGGGCTGGGAATGCTGGGTAACGTCTCCCTGCTGCTGCTGCTGCTGATGGCTCCCGGGCGGTGCACAGCTGTTTGCAGATGTGTGTGAATGCATGATGCTGAACACACACCAAAGCTTTAACACACCCTGGGACGGACTTTATTAACCCCCAGAGGGAAACTCAGGCGTCACAGCAGCACGGCGACGCAACAGAGGGGGCAAACAGGGCAAACAGGGCAAACAGGGCAAACAGGGCAAACAGGGAAAAAAGGGCAAACAGGGCAAACAGGGCAAAAAGGGCAAAAAGGGCAAACACAGAATACATGAGAGAGACAGAAATGTACAAATGAGTAGTTTGTGGGAAGGACTCGAGGATTCAAGGAGCTTTATGTGTCGTGTCAGCTCACATTCACATGTTAGTGCTGTGAAATATATTTATTGTTTTTAAGAAAAAGCCTCATAAATAATAATAATAATAAAACAAGAGTAAAATAGAAGTAAAAATACAGCAATAAGTAAAATCATCTGAACATGAAGAGCCACAGCTGGTTGTTTAGGATGATCTTATATTTTTAAAAAACTCAACGTCTTAGAATCACTTTTAATGTTTAACTGTTTTTATTTTTACCTGCCTTCTTCATCTTGTTTATTATCTTTTCATTTAATGTATTTTGTTCCTGTTTTTATCTGCTCCCCTGTTAAGCGACTTTGAAAAGCGCTCTGCAAAATAAATGTATTATTATTATTATTATTAGTTATTAGTTGTTTGGTGCTAAATATCTGTGCAGCAGTGGGGTGGACGTATTGATGCACTTGGTAGTTAAACTATTGCACATATATGGACACGGTGTGTGTGAGTCTAAACATGTGCACGTTAAATAAAATCTGACTCTAATTGTAAAGTCAGGAGCTCATGGTGCATCCTGGGGACGGTCCTCCGCCGTCACGTCGGCCTCGTTAGGATTCACCGAGTGCACGAGTGTCTTCCCTGCGTGTATAATTGGCGAGCGTCGCGCCCAGATGTCATCCGACGGTTAATTGCAGTTAGTTGTGTAACGAGCGAGCAGAGCAGGACGGTGGCGGGAGGCGAGGACGTCGCTCCAGTGTTTATGGACATTATCAGATGATTTTCTCTTTCTCTGGAATCTAAAAAGCTGTAAATACTTTGCTCGTTGAGTGTTTTATTTCTGAATGTACGACACAGATACAGTGAAAAGGATTGTGCCTACAGTCATCCTCTAATTCTAATGTATTCATAACTTCTATTAAAGAAAAGGCAAAACTCACAACAGTCACTGAAATAACCAGAAACTGACAAAAGCAATAATAAATAAAAATGTGCTAAATTACAATTTAGTGAAATAAGACGTAGCTTTTGAATTGTGGTTAAAATAATAATATAATAATAATTTTAAAAAGTATTTTTTAAATTTTAAAAAATATTTCTGTTGAACCACAATTCAAAATCAACGTCATGATTTTCATACAATTTTATTTATTTTTACTTTTGTCATTTTCAACCTAAAGCACTGAAGCTGTTTATTTCCTTCTCTAATGGGTTTTAATGGGAGGGGATGGATATATCTGACTGTACGTTAAGGTCGTCAGTTTCTAAACTTTATTATAAAAGACGAATCAAAGCGATGAACTCTGATACCACGGGAGGATTTTTAAGGTTTTTTTTCATTTCATTTTTTCTACTTTATTCACTTTAACTAGCAGGATGGTTTAATAATGGCGACAGTTATAATGATGTGACAGACAGCACATAGGGTCGCTGTGAGATAAGAGAAGACTATAAACCTGTATGGTCGTGATGCCGAGGTCTCGCCCGATTAGGATGCGTCCGTCTACCAGTCTGGCAATGCGCGGATCCTCCACCTGTGGAAAAATAACAGTCATTTATTCTGGTTTTTAAAAAAATGCTAAATGTGATTGAAATTCAACAGCCAAACATCAGTTCTATTAAAGAATTAAGACAATGATCAGAATATTGATGCCCATGTTGCGTTAATTAGCCTAGCTTAGCATAAACACTGAAAACACTAATAAAGTGTCACATTCTCTGCAAAGTTTCCATCATCAGCAGCTTCTCTCACGTTGACCTGATAACGCTTTAAATATTAATGAACAGAAAAACAACAGTTTGTGTTTTAAAACACAAAAACTGAATAAAATCAGAGAAAATATTGATTAATTTACATTTTAACCTAAAAACAAAACGGCCAAAACTCTAAATAATGTCCTCCTAAATATTTATTATTATTATTATTATTATTATTATTATTATTACTGTTATTATTATTTTAACAACATGTGGCTGTAAAACGATGTGTTTTCCTCTTTTTTGTTTGTTTTTTTAAAACAGTATTTTACAAACCAGTTATTTTTATCATTATTTAATATATTCCAGAGTTTTTAGTGTTTTTCTTTCTGGCCCACTTGCTGCCAGATTTTCACAGATTTATTTTATATTTTTCCTCCAGGTGTACCTTCAGCTGGTCCAGGACTAGATGTGTGATGTCGGCCTGCCAGTCGGCTCCCAGCATGTACACCATCTCTCCTCCCGGGTCGGACGGTTCTGCCACGAAGTGGGTGAGGACCCGCACCAGAGCGTACTGGTACTGAAAGAGGAAGGTCGCGTTTAGACCCGAACACAGACTCTACAGCAGCTCACGGTGAGCATCACGCTGCAGGAGGACAGCCGACGTCGGAGGAAGACAGGATTACAGAACCCGTGATATAAGAACCAATCAAACGGTACCTGTAGGGTGCAGCCTTTGCCCTTCCTGTCGTCGTCCTCGTCGTCCTCGCTGTCCCTGGTCGGTCTGGGAGGAGACAGAACGAGGAGGAGGTGGTGAGATTATCTGGTGATTAAATGCCCTCCTTATGCTCAGCACTCGGCTCCGGATAATCTACGGGATCATCTCTGCTCCGGGTTTCGCTCCGAGTCGGAGAAAAGACGTTTAATCTGCGTGTGACACTCGTAAACCACTTAACCAGCACAGAGTGTGATCATTAGGGAGCCTCGGTGGAGCTAATCGAGGGCCGGTTCATCGAAACGATTAACTGGAACATCACAAGAGAAAAGTTGAGCTTGAATTTTCATTTTTGCTTCGACAGAGAAGGAAACACATCATCCAGCAGCAAAGCTAACGGCTGGGTCTGCAGCAGTCAACCCACAATATGGACATCAGCCAAACAGGAAGTCTCTCTTTCTCTTTCCTTCCTCTGTGTAATGCCTACAGGCCCACACAAGACCCCACATCCAGGAGCACGGCGCCGCCTCCTCGCCTCCCAGCTGTACCTGTGAAGCCCAGGTAATATTACAGGAATCCTCTTTCCATTTCCATCCCCCGGCTGCACACGTGTCGCCGTGAGAGTCCGCTTGTGTTTCCAGTCGGGGGGAGATGAAGGTGTGTGTGTTCTGTTTGTGCGCACGGCTCGGCGGCTATCTGAGCAGAAATTGGCGAAATTGAAAAATAGGCCCGGCAGAACCGAATGGAAAAGGTGGCGAGACGGGAGGACGGAGGAGAAGCAACACACACACCGACACACACACCGATACACACACATATCGCACATAGAGGCACAAGCAAAGGCAGGAAAAACATAGAGTGGCTGTGATTTAATGAGCTGAACGCAGGTTTTAGCTAATTGTCAGCAGAGTGTGGGTTCCATTATTAAAGCCTCAGCTCAGGAGTCCAGGTGGGAGGAGGCGTCTCCAAACGAGGAAACTTCCTGCTTCCACCCTCTAAAGTCTGCGTCTCACGGCTGAAGCTGCCCCCCCATGTAGACTAAAGATACGACTAAAAATGAGCACTTCAATGCTGAGACGGAGGAAAAGAATTTACACAATAAATCAGAAGAAAAGCAGAGAGGCCGAACACGATCCTATAAACTCAGATTTGTACCAAATGTACATCACATGCCAGACTTTTCTGTTGTTCGTCTGCAGCTCTCGAACAAACACAGGAGGAGAATGAGTGGATGGTTTTTTCAACTACAGATCCCAGCTGCAAAGACAAACGTGCTAACGCTCTTCTCTGCAGCAGAGGCTCATGGGTACTGGACAGAACCCAGTACCTCAGAGACACGGATGAAATAACGTTTAAATCAGATCGTTGCATTGTCTGGAAGAACACAAGAAAACATGAAACACAAAAACAGAAGAACGCCCTCTGTCTCACACTGATTGTTAAAACCTGATCCTTTCAAAATAAAAGCACTGATACCAGGGACACACAGGGCATGCAGACCACACGATTGTTTTTGCAGCATGAATCGGACTAATGCTCGCGTCCTCCGCCGTACGTTAAATCACCTCTTGTTGGTGATGATGGGCACCCTCCAGCCCTTGACCTGGCTCAGCTCGGTGTCCGACACGTCGATCTGCAGGGGCAGCTTGGGCACCCAGACGGTGAGCTGCAGCTGGGCCGACAGGTGCAGGTAGGTGAAGTTGACCGCCAGCGACTGGCGCCCTCGCATTTCTTTGCCGTTCACCAGAACCTGGTCGCAGTTTGGGGAAACCTGAAAAGAAGCAGATATGAGTTAAGTCTGGCAGAGTTTCTACATGTGACTGAAGCAGATGCTGCCGGTTTTCAGAAGCAGCCGACGTGATGTTTGTCTCTGATTGCTGTTGTTCCTCCCGTGAAGCCGCTCTGCGCCGTAAAGGAGGGTTAATAATATGCTGCTTCCCTCCACATTAGTGGCATTTTGGGTTTGCGAGCGCGCGGGGATCTCCTGTCACCTCCACCAGTCTGAATGCACATCCTAAAACCAGTAATTCACACTGACTCCAAGACATTAGGATAATTACTCTGAGTGTGTACGACCACCTGCGAGAACACCGACAACTTAAATAAAATGTCCGTTAATGGAGCCTCTGAAAGCAGCGCTACACGTGTCTGTTTGCATAATCATGTAAATGCAGGATGTGGTTTCAGAGCAGCGTTGTTTGAAGTGAAGCGCACACAACGCGTGTAGACACTGGATTACTATGGTTGTGCTTCAGGAAGTGGACAGCAGCCTCACAGACAAGCTGACAGGCAGAACAACGGAGCGGGCCGGATCTGGCTCGGCTTCGTTTAAACCCCTCTCACTCCTCTGACTGTATGACGGATCGCCTTGACGCTCTGTGGACGAATCATCCCACGAGTTCCACCGGCAACGTCTTCATACGAGGAGGCAGCTGATCACAGCCCGGCGTGGGCTTTAACGTTCAAACGCTTGTTTTTTTAATCGTCTTGCACCTGAAGCAAACAGTAGGAAACAATGATGAGCCTAAAGTCAGGAGGCACCACGACATCGTATCTAAATGGACATCCACAGCTTTTTAATGCCACTTTCTTATGGTTCATTCAAACATATTTTAGAGAAAACTTTGTCAGGAGAACTACAACCCTCCAGAGTAACTCGTGCTCATTAAACCACATCGTGTCTCCCCCTCTGATTTCTGACTCTTTATATTCCTACAGCTGCTCATTCACTCCTGGCAGCTCGGTAACTTCTCCTCCTCCTCCGTCTCCACCCAACACTTATCCTCCTACACCTTCCTTCACGTCTCCACCTATGTTCTCTACCTGCCGTTTAACATTCGGCCCATTTATGTCCGACTTTCTCTTTCAATCTACTTTCATGTTTTCTAAAACCTCCAGTTTCTAAGCTGATGTCCTTCCTCCACTTCACCCCGTCACAGGTTCCTACCAGGTCTCCTCAACACCGGGTTCCTCTGATACGATATCAGATCAGCACTCGACAGGTCGACTTTAATTGCTTCAAGTCTTTTTTTTGTTTTTTACACCTGGTATCAGAG